GGGGGGGTGAGAAGCACCGACTTGGAGGGCAGAGAATCTCCAGAGACCTTCGGGCAGGGGGTTCCACCATGAGCAGAGCAGGGGGGGCTGGACTAGAAGATCTCCAAGGTCCCCTTCTAACTCTGTTATTCTATTCTATTCCATTCTATTCTATAATTCTATTCTATTCTATTTTATAATTCTATTCTATTCTATTTTCTATTCCATTCAATTCCATTCCATATTTTCTTTATTCTACTCTATTCCATTCCATATTTTCTATTCAATTCCATTTACTATTCTGTTCTGTTCTATCCTATTCTGTATTTTATTATTCTATTCTGTAATTCTATTCTATTTTCTATTTTGTTCCGTTCCATATTTTCTTTTCTATGCCATTCTATTCCATTCCATTCACTATTCTGTTCTGTCCTATCCTATTCTGTATTTTATTATTCTATTTTATTCCATTCCATTCCTTTTTTTCTATTCCATTCTATTCCATTCCATATTTTCTTTTCTATTCTATTCTATTCTATTTATTCCATTCCATTCCATATTTTCTATTCTATTCCATTCTATTCTTCCATTCCACTCCATTCTATTCCATTCCACATTTTCTATTCTATTTTTTTCTATTGTATTCCATTCTATTTAATTCCATTCCATATTTTTTTCTATTCTATTCTATTCTGTTCTATTCTATTTATTCCATTCCATTCCATATTTTCTATTCTATTCTATTCCATTCCATTCCATATTTTCTATTCTATTCCATTCTATTCTTCCATTCCACTCCATTCTATTCCATTCCACATTTTACATTCTATTCTATTCTTCCATTCTATTCCATTCCACATTTTATATTCTATTTCTTTCTATTGTATTCCATTCTATTTAATTCCATTCCATATTTTCTTTTCTATTCTATTCTGTTCTATTCTATTCTATTCTATTCCATTCCATTCTATTCCATTCCATATTTTCTATTCTATTCTATTCCATTCTATTCTTCCATTCCACTCCATTCTATTCCATTCCACATTTTATATTTTATTTCTTTCTATTGTATTCCATTCTATTTAATTCCATTCCATATTTTCTTTTCTATTCTATTCTGTTCTATTCTATTTATTCCATTCCATTCCATATTTTCTATTCTATTCTATTCCATTCCATTCCATATTTTCTATTCTATTCCATTCTATTCTTCCATTCCACTCCATTTTATTCCATTCCACATTTTATATTCTATTCTATTCTTCTATTCCACTCCATTCTATTCCATTCCACATTTTATATTCTAATTCTTTCTATTGTATTCCATTCTATTCTATTCCATTCCATATTTTGTCTTCTATTCCATTCCATTCTATTCTATTCCATTCCATTCTATTCCATTCCATATTTTCTATTCTATTCTATTCCATTCTATTCTTCCATTCCACTCCATTCTATTCCATTCCACATTTTATATTTTATTTCTTTCTATTGTATTCCATTCTATTGTATTCCATTCCATATTTTGTCTTCTATTCCATTCCATTCTATTCCATTCCTTTTTTTCTATTCCATTCTATTCCATTCCATATTTTTTATTCTATTCTATTCTATTCTATTCTATTCTATTTATTCCATTCCATTCCATATTTTCTATTCTATTCCATTCTATTCCATTCCACTCCATTCCATATTTTCTATTCTATTCTATTCCATTCTATTCTTCCATTCCACTCCATTCTATTCCATTCCACATTTTCTATTCTATTTCTTTCTATTCTATTCCATTCTATTGTATTCCGTTCCATATTTTGTCTTCTATTCCGTTCCATTTTTTTTATTCCATTAGATTCCATTCTATTCCATTCCATAATTATTTGGGCCTGGTGGGCGGCCGTGAGCAGGAAGGCAGGCCAGGCCCCGGGAAAGAGCCTGGCCATGGGGTCCCCTCCCCGACTTTTGCCGTTCTTTCTCTGTGCCCCACCAGCCTCGTCTCCTCCCTCCCTCCCTCCCTCCCTCTGACCCAACATAAACTCTTGGCTTGCTGGGGGGGGGGAAACTCCAGTGTGTGTGTGTGTGTGTTTGTGTGTCTGCTGCTGAGCTCACCTGGCAGGCCGCTCCGGCCGGCTTCTGACCGACGGAAGGGAAGCTTCTTCTTCCTCAAATGCAGTTGGGGATGAGGCAGAGTTTATTTTTAACAGATGACCCCCCCCCCAACCCTTTTGGCCGCCCCTTTCCCTGACCCGCCGTGTCTCCTCCGAGGGGGCCGCGACTGCTTCGGACAGGGCGAGCCGCCTTCGACCGGTCCGGTCCTTAGTCCCTCTTGTCCGCTTTCGCCTGCCGGACTTTGGGGGCAGGCCCGTTCCCGGCTCTTTCTGCGCAGGGTCCAGGCCCCACCGGCCCCAAAAGGAAGGAAAGGGCTCCCTGAATGCCAACGGACACCCCCCCCCAATTATCTGGAGAGGGAGATGGCTGGAGGCAGAGATTCACCCCTTGTGCCCACCGGGACGCGTGGCGGGCAAGGGAGGGGGCGCCCAGAGCCTCCGTCCTTCCCGTCCAGGCACCCTAGAGAAGAGTGGGGAGGAAGGACCACCCCAGCCCTCCCCGGGGGGGGGAAGTGGTGGGGGGTCCTCAGGAGGGGCCAGGCAAGGCTTCAGCTCTGAGGGGTCCCCCCTTGCAGATCTGTAACCCCGAGGACCCCCCCCCTCTGCCTTCCCAGGAAGCAGCAAGGGGCCGAGCGCCAGCCGGTCACGCGACTGCCGGCCCCCTTGCAAAATATCCGGAGAGGGAGGAAGCTGTGGGAAGCTGTGGGTGGGGGCTGAGGAGGAAGTGTTCAGGGCGAGACTCTTGCCAGCCGGCATCTGGGGAGGAGGAGGAGGGGGGGGTCTCTGGCCGCTACATTAACGCCGCTGCCCCCCCCTTTTCTCTCTCCTCTTCCTCCTGCCCGCCTTCCGAAGACTGCAGGAGTCCCGACAGCTCTTCGCTCAGCAACTCTCCCCCCCTGCGGGGCCCGGGGTCCTCCCCGCCGCCTGAGGCTGCCCCCCCTCTGCCCCCCTCCATGATCGGCTCGGCCATGACCAGCTCCATCGGCGGGCTGGGCTCTCCCTTCCCGGTCATCAGCTCCTCCATGGGCTCCCCGGGACTGCCGGCCACCCCCTCCATCGGCTACGGGCCCGTCAGCAGCCCCCAGGTAAGCAGGGGGAAGGGAGGGGGGGCGGGAGGGGGCGCAGGGGACTCCCGGTGGCCCCGCCTCTGACGGTCCCTCCTCTCCGCCTCCCCCCCCCCAGATCAACTCCACGGTGAACCTGTCCGGCCTCCACTCGGTCAGCAGCTCGGAAGACGTGAAGCCTCCCGTGGGCATGAGGGTCCTTCCGGGACACCCCCACAGCGGGCTGATGCCCGGGAAGCGGCTGTGCGCCATCTGCGGGGACCGGTCCTCGGGTAGGCGGGGCGGAGCTCTCACGGGGGGGGGGAAGGTCTTGGAGTGGGTTGTCTTCGGATCGGCTGGGAGGGGGGAGAGCGCCGTCCCCGGGGTGAGCCCTCCTGTGCCCCTCCCCTCCCCCCCAGGGAAGCACTACGGGGTCTACAGCTGCGAGGGCTGCAAGGGCTTCTTCAAGCGCACCATCCGGAAGGACCTGACCTACACCTGCCGCGACAACAAGGACTGCATCGTGGACAAGCGCCAGCGGAACCGCTGCCAGTACTGCCGCTACCAGAAATGCCTGGCCACGGGCATGAAACGCGAAGGTAGGGGCGGGGGAGGGCCCGGGGGAACCTCCCAGGGCAGGGCTGGGCACAGGGGGGGCGGGGGAGGAGGAGGGACTATCAGAGGCGGGGCCAGCGGGAGTCCCTGCCCCCTTTGTTCCGGTGGGGGGGGAAGATGGAGGGACCCCCACCACCAACCGCCTCCCCGCCTTGTGCGCTGGCAGCCGTGCAGGAGGAGCGCCAGCGGGGGAAGGAGAAGGACGGGGACTGCGAGCTGGCCGGCTCGGGGGCCAACGAGGACATGCCCGTGGAGAAGATCCTGGAGGCCGAGCTGGCCGTGGAGCAGAAGTCAGACCAAGGCGTCGACGGGGCCGGCATGGGGGGCAGCTCGGTGAGTTGGGGAAGGGGAGCAGCGGGATCAGAGCGGTCCCTCCACCCCACCGACACAGACGAGGTAAGGGGGACGGGCGGGACGGAGGAGGGATCCGGGCGGGGGGGAGGAGGTGGTGGAGGAAGGGGGGGCTGCTGGGGAGTGGCTCCGTCCCGCTTGGGGCGGACGTTGCTGTCCCCCGTCCCACCCACCCTCCGTCTGCCTGTCGCCCCCCCTCCTTCCCTCCCTCCTCCTGCAGCCCAACGACCCGGTGACCAACATCTGCCAGGCTGCGGACAAGCAGCTCTTCACGCTGGTGGAGTGGGCCAAGCGCATCCCCCACTTCTCGGAGCTGCCCCTCGACGACCAGGTCATCCTGCTCCGGGCCGGTGAGTGTGGCGGCCGGCTTGGGCATCGGCCTTCCGGATACCGGCTCCCGGACCATCCCCCATTCATGGCAGCTTCTCTCTCTCTCTCTGGTAGGCTGGAATGAGCTGCTGATCGCCTCTTTCTCCCACCGGTCCATTTCGGTGAAGGACGGGATTCTGCTGGCCACAGGGCTGCACGTCCACCGCAACAGCGCCCACAGCGCCGGCGTGGGGGCCATCTTCGACAGGTGGGGGCAGGGGAGGGCAGTTCGGGGTGCTGCCCATCCGGGCCGGAGTGGCCCCATTTTTGCGGAAGGGGAAAAGGGATCGAGGCGGGCCAACTGATGATTCCCCCCGGCTCCTCCCCCATCCGAGGTGCCCCCGCCAAACTCGGCTCTTCTGCCCCGCCAGGGTGCTGACCGAGCTGGTGTCCAAAATGCGAGACATGCGGATGGACAAGACGGAGCTGGGCTGTCTCCGTGCCATCATCCTCTTCAACCCAGGTGGGGCTTTCTTTTTATCTCCCCCCCCAGGAGCATTGCCTCCCCTCCTCTCCTGGGCACAAGACCCCTCCATCTTACTCTCTTCTGTCCCTTTCTCTCCAGACGCCAAGGGGCTCTCCAACCCCGGGGAGGTGGAGCTGCTGCGGGAGAAAGTCTACGCCTCGCTAGAGTCCTACTGCAAGCAGAAGTACCCGGATCAGCAGGGGAGGTAATGACCGTGGGGGGGAAGGGGGGTGCCGGTCCCCTTTGGGATTTGGGGGGGAGGGGAGAGGCTGTACCCCCCCCTCTGCCTAGGCTCTCTCGTGGGGGCAGGGGGAAATGGACGGCCATTTGTCTGAAATGGTATAGGGCAGGGGTAGGCAACCTTGGCTCTTTTATGACTCGTGGACTTCAACTCCCAGAAAAGAGCCAAGGTTGCCTACCCCTGGTATTGGGTTTCCTGCCTGAGCAGGGGGTTGGACTAGATGACCTCCAAGATCCCTTCCAATTTTTTTTAAATTATTATTATTCATTAGACGTGAACATCAGTCAACTTTATTAATAATAATAATAATAATAATAATAATAATAATAAAAAATAATATAATAATTATCTATCTATATAAATAAAAATGTAAATGTTCGTTTGTTCAAAATCTTAAATCTCCGAAAGTTCTTCACCGATTGCTTTGAAATTTTGACACAACGTTGCATTCGAATACGCGCATGTTTTTATATACCTATATTATATAGATGTCACACCTGTGACAGGTAAAAACATGCTTTTTTTGAAAAACAGCGCCATCTGTTGGACGTAAAAGCAACACAAATGTGCGCATTCTCTTTTCTTTCTTTTCCATTTAACCAGACTGAGCCACAGCAACGCGTGGCCGGATACAGCTAGTAATAATAATTACCTTACTGTTGCATTCCTGTCTGGCGGAGGGTCGCCCCCCCCACTCAGCCTTTGGGCCCTTCAAAGCCATCCTGGGGGGGGAGGACCCTGACCTGCCTGATGGCCTGACCTCCCCCCTGCTGTCCCTCCCACCCCCAGGTTCGCCAAGCTGCTGCTGCGCCTGCCCGCCCTGCGGTCGATCGGCCTGAAGTGCCTGGAGCACCTCTTCTTCTTCAAGCTGATCGGGGACACCCCCATCGACACCTTCCTGATGGAGATGCTGGAAGCCCCCCACCAGATGTCCTGACAGCCCCCCTCCCACCGCCGTCCCCTCCCAGGACCGGAGGACTGCTGCCGAGAAGGCCCGGGGGGAGGCCCACCACGCCCGGTGCTCTGTGTTGAGGCAGGGGGCTGTACTCCCCAGCCACGGTGGGGTGGAGGGGGCTAGACCCCCTCCTTGGCTTCGCCTAAACCAGGGGAGGGGTCAAACTGCCCTGCCCGCCCCATCGCCGGCAACGGCAGAACTCTGCCGATACGTTGCACGACGTCGCGCGACGTTGCGAGTTTGACATGTCTAAACTAGGGGGGTCCTCCTCAGCCGGGGAAGGGACTCCCCGTAACGCTTCTCCCCCCCCAATTGGTTTGCCTGAGAAGCCCCTGGGTTGGGGGAGGGACGTGCCAGGGCTCCTCTGGGGGGGGTGGGGAGAGAGCAAGGACCCCTCCCCCCCGTCGCAGCTCAGGAATTGGCCCCTTTCCTGCTGCATTGCCCCCCCCCTTCCACTCACCCCAAGCCGGCTTTTTGGCAGTGGGTTCACGGTTCTCCAGTGGTTCCTGTTTCTTTTGGGGGGGGCTCCTCTGCCCCCCCTACCCTCTTCTGGCTTAGCACTTTTGACTGTATCGGCCCTCATCTATGCAAGGGGTGCGGTCTGGGGGGGGCACAGGCCACGCCCTCAGGCCAGACTGCCCGTCCGCCCCCCTCCCTCCCGCCGCAGAGGAGCCTCACTGCCCCCCCACCCGTCCTTGGGGTGCCCCAGGGGCTGAGCTCCCCCACCCACCCCCACCAAGTGGGTAGGGGGCTGCCCTCCTTACTGCTGGATTGGAAGCCTCTCCCTGCGCCCCCCCCTTTGCCAATGCCCTTCCCTTGCGGCTCTAAGCACTGGCTAGGTAAGGCCTGAGTGGGGGGGGGCTCCCCCAGTCTCTCCCACCCCCTACCCCGCAGGCCCACACGCGTCTTGCTGCTTCCTCTGTCCTCCCCCTCCCCATTTATGTGACCCTTCCCCAAATGATCCCTTTTGGGGAATACGTTGTTTTAATCGAAACCCCCNCAACTCCCAGAATTCCTCAGCCAGGGGGTCTTCCAACTTGGCCCTTGGATGACTGGGGGACTTCAACTCCCAGAATTCCTCAGCCAGGCACGCCTAAGGCGTGCCTGGCTGAGGAATTCTGGGAGTTGAAGTCCCCCAGTCATCCAAGGGCCAAGTTGGAAGACCCCCTGGTCTATGTGCTGCCTGGGGAATTCTGGGATTTGAAGTCCTGACATCTTAAAGTCGCAAAGGGGTTCCAGGTCAAAGGGCAGGGGCCCGGCTGAGGAATTCTGGGAGTTGAAGTCCCCAAGTCATCCAAGGGCCAAGTCGGAAGACCCCTGTCCTTTGCCCTGGTGGGGAATGAGGGCTGCAGTTCTTCCCTTGCCCGCTGGGGGGCAGCAGCCGCACCCTTGTCAGCGGAGGGAGGAATCCCCTCTGCCCCCCCCCCCAAGAAACTGGACTGCTACTTGTCGGACCGCCCCTTGGCCTCCCCGTCTCCCGTTGCTGGGATTGGGGTCGGGGGTCTCCTCCGGCCCTCCGCATCCCACCAGCCAGTTCTGGGGGGGGGGGCTCAAAGGATTTCGGGGCGCCCTTGCAGCCCCTCCCCGGCACAAGACAGGTGGGGTGTCCTTTGCAAAAGAGCCCCCCCTTTTCAGGAAATTCCCCGCATACCGGCGGCTGGGAAGGGTGGGCCGGTCTCCGAGGTCCCCCCCCCTCCGTGACCTGGACTGACCCCCCCCAAGCCGGCGGGGCTGCGGTCGTCTTCGCCGCCTGGAGACGCACAGAAGGGCCTTGTTCACACACACACACAAACAACACACACACACACACACACCCCGGTCCGGTGGGAAGCCCCCCTGCGCCGGCGGTGACTCAGTTGGCCCGCGAGGAGGAGGAGGAGGGAGGGGGCTCCCTGCCCTGGACTGAGCCGCGGGCCTCCTGAGCGCGTGCAGAGTGCGAGAACCTGCAAAGGAGGAGGAAGGGGTGCAGAGGGCGAGAGCTTGCAGAGCGGGAGGGGCGAGGCGAGGAGGGGGGAGGAAGGGGGCTCCCTGCCCTGGGCTGAGCTACGGGCTTCCTGAACGCGTGCAGAGTGCAAGAGCTTGCAGAGCGGGAGGGGCGCGGCGGGGAGGAAGGGGGCTCCTGAGCGCGTGCAGAGCGCCAGGGCTTGCAGAGCGGGAGGAGCGCGGCGAGGAGGGGAAGGAAGGGGTCTCCCTGCCCTGGGCTGAGCCGCGGGCCTCCTGAGCGCGTGCAGAGTTCGAGAGATTGCAGAGCGGGAGGGGCGCGGCGAGGAGGAAGGGGACTCCCTGCCCTGGGCTGAGCTACGGGCTTCCTGAACGCGTGCAGAGTGCGACAGCTTGCAGAGGAGGAGGAAGGGGGCTCCCTGCCCTGGGCTGCGCTGAGAGCCTCCTGAGCGCGTGCAGAGTGCGACAGCTTGCAGAGCGGGAGGGGCGAGGCGAGGAGGGGGAGGAAGGGGACTCCCTGCCCTGGGCTGAGCCGCGGGCCTCCTGAGGTGGTGCAGAGTGCGAGAGCTTGCAAAGGAGGAGGAAGGGGGCTCCCTGCCTTGGGCTGAGCCGCGGGCCTCCTGAGCGCGTGCAGAGTGCGACAGCTTGCAGAGCGAGAGGAGCGCGGCGAGGAGGGGGAGAAAGGGGGCTCCCTGCCTTGGGCTGAGCCGCGGGCCTCCTGAGCGCGTGCAGAGTGCGACAGCTTGCAGAGCGAGAGGAGCGCGGCGAGGAGGGGGAGAAAGGGGGCTCCCTGCCTTGGGCTGAGCCGCGGGACTCCTGAGCGCGTGCAGAGTGCGAGAGATTGCAGAGCGGGAGGGGAGCGGCGAGGAGGGGGAGGAAGGGGTCTCCCTGCCCTAGGCTGCGCTGAGAGCTTCCTGAGCGCGTGCAGAGTGCGACAGCTTGCAGAGCGGGAGGGGCGCGGCGGGGAGGGGAGAAGGAGGAAGGGGGCTCCCTGCCCTGAGCCGCGGGCCTCCTGAGCGCGTGCAGAGTGCGACAGCTTGCGGAGGAGGAGGAAGGGAGCTCTTTGCCCTAGGCTGAGCCGCGGGCCTCCTGAGCGCGTGCAGAGTGCGAGAGCTTGCAGAGCGGGAGGGGCGCGGCGGGGAGGGGAGAAGGAGGAAGGGGGCTCCCTGCCCTGGCCTGAGCCGCGGGCCTCCTGAGCGCGTGCAGAGTGCAAGAGCTTGCAGAGCGAGAGGAGCGCGGCGAGGAGGGGGAGGAAGGGGTCTCCCTGCCCTAGGTTGCGCTGAGAGCCTCCTGAGCGCGTGCAGAGTGCAAGAGATTGCAGAGCGGGAGGGGCGAGGCGAGGAGGGGGAGAAAGGGAGCTCCCTGCCCTGGGCTGAGCCGCGGGACTCCTGAGCGCGTGCAGAGGGCGACAGCTTGCAGAGCGGGAGGGGCGAGGCGGGGAGGAGGAGGAAGGGGGCTCCCTGCCCTGAGCCGCGGGCCTCCTGAGCGCGTGCAGAGTGCGAGAGATTGCAGAGAGGGAGGGGCGCGGCGGGGAGGAAAGGGGGGCTCCCTGCCCTGGGCTGCGCTGAGAGCTTCCTGAGCACGTGCAGAGTGCGAGAGCTTGCAGAGCGGGAGGGGCGCGGCGAGGAGGGGGAGGAAGGGGGTCCCTGCCCTGGGCTGAGCCGCGGGCCTCCTGAGCGCGTGCAGAGTGCGAGAGATTGCAGAGCGGGAGGGGCGAGGCGAGGAGGGGGAGGAAGGGGGCTCCCTGGGCTGAGCCGCGGGCCTCCTGAGCGCGTGCAGAGTGCGAGAGATTGCAGAGCGGGAGGGGCGAGGCGAGGAGGGGGAGGAAGGGGGCTCCCTGGGCTGAGCCGCGGGCCTCCTGAGCGCGTGCAGAG